TGCCTTTGGGATCATATTTTTGGGAGAAAAGCTCCTGTATTGTGTCTAATATATATAAACAGCTATCGTAAGTCAGGAAGAAAAGACTTGTGAGAGCGTACAAAGGATATGAACAGGTGATTCACAGGACAACTGTAAGAAGCTTCTGCAACGATGCTTAAACTCAACAGTGACAACAAAAGGTAAGTTGGGGTATTTTTCACCTTTGTTGGACTGGCAAAAGCTCAGTATTCCATCTTATGTTAACCCAAGGGTAGAAAAACAGGCTCATAAGCTAGCACTGGAGATACAGAAAGTGAGATAAGCATCTCTTAATCTCTAAATTTGGTATTTGAAAACACATTAAAGGTGTTTAGCCTTTGAGACATTCCATTTCCAAGACTTTTACGGGAAAACTTGAACATGTATACAAATATATATATATATATATATATATATATATATATATACACACACACACACACACACACACACACACACACACACACACACACACACAGGATATCCATTGAAACAGTGCTTAAAATAGCAAGAGTTAAAAAGAAGGGAGGCTGTCTCCTACTAGACAGGATGTCAGTGAAGGGGAAGATGAGGAAGCACCACACACCACTGTGGGCAGCCTCCGGAAAAGGGAGCGGGTGAGGGCCAGGCAGTGGCGGAGGTGTCCTTCTAAGAGTGTTTTGTTTTGTTTAATCTTGACTTGTTTAATAGGCTTCAATTCACGTTTCTTGTGTAATTTACCAATGAAAAGACCAACAGCTGAGTAATGTCCCATATCAGCACAGGGCCTGGGCAGTTTGGGTTTGGTGGTTTGGATCCCAAACCTTCTTCAAACCTCAGGCAGCATGCTGTGGCTTTTGGCCATGGACCTGGTTCTGCTCAGCCTGCTGGACTCCTCACCTACCTCAGTGTCATTGAACCGAAAGGGCTCCAGACACGGGTTCCACCTGACCAGCCTGGGCGATGGCATGAAGTCCAGGAATGGGTAAATGGATGTTCTTGTAAAGTTGAACCCATGGATGCCATCTTCTGGGAACACTATAATCTGCACGCCCTATAAGCGGAAAGACAGAGGAGAGTGCTGTGAGGTAAGGGAGCACCAGGTCCTTGGCTGCCAAACACCAGCAAGCTGACTGCCCGGGGCTATGAAGGTGATGGATGGCTTGACTCCCAGCTCGGATGGAGAGGCTTGCTCTCCGGCCATCAGCTGACCGTCCAAGTGCCGGACAGTGGCCGTACATGTGCCAGTGTCCTCTGAGAAGAACCATGAGCATGTGGGGCTGGAGGGAGGGGCCCACGGCGCTCACCAAGGAAACAGGCTGCCTTCTTGCTGGTACAGTGGGAGCTGGGCCAATTGTGAAGCGCCTAGACTATTGGGCCTGTTCACAGACGGGCTGTCTCCAGCCCAGCAGTCCTCATCCATCCTTCCATGTCTAAGTCATTTGAGGAACTTCTGGAAAAACACTGATGTGGAGGCCCATCCATAAAACGGCTGACTGGAATGTGGGTGAGTCCTGGCTGCAGCATTCATTTAAAAGATTCCACTGAATAATCACAGTTGGACTCTGGGGGCCGTGGCTGATGGCAAGTGTGCTGAACACAAAGCAGCTCCCACTGGGGACTTGAGAGTCCCCTTAGGGGCTCTTGCTGATCTGTAGGCCTTTCTCCACACTGAGCATCTACGGCCACCCAGGGAGACAGAAACAAACTGGGCGGTCCTCAGCTCTCTTCCCACCTCATTCTCCAGGGACTCTCGGTTCTGCGGATTCAAATGTCAAGCCTAGAATGTAGGCCCAATGCAGAGGGTGGAGGCAGCAGGCAGCAGGCGTGACAGCACTCACTTCCTCAGCGAATGCAATGGCACTTGGGTTTGTTTCCCCCTTTTTGGGTATAAAAGCTCCAAATTTTTTTTTTTTTTTGGTTTTTCGAGACAGGGTTTCTCTGTGTAGCTTTGCGCCTTTCCTGGAACTCGCTTTGGAGACCAGGCTGGCCTCAAACTCAAAGAGATCCGCCTGGCTCTGCCTCCCGAGTGCTGGGATTAAAGGCGTGTGCCACCACCGCCCGGCTCAGCCGTTAAAGGCTAGGCTCACAACCAAAAATATAAAAGCTCCAAATTTTAACCAGAAAAAATTTGGAAGACCAAAAAAAGAAAAAAGTGAACTCATGTCCTCTCACACAAAGATGCTTGTGTGATTCTGCTGGTCCTTTCCCCTGCGCGTATCTGGGTACAGATGAGATGGGATCTTGCATAGCATTTGTCTTCCCCATAGAGAACGTTCAGAAATGCCATCTGTAATGGCCACCTCATACCTAAAGGCCACCGTTTCTCTTCCACTGATGTCTGAATCCAACCTCTGCAATAAAAACAGCGATGCGGCAGCTCTCTGCGTGTGTTGTGGTCACCACCCTGACTGAGAGGTGCTTGTGATTTTAGTTGACTCCCTGTTATTTCCTTAGAATAAAGTGAATTTCACATGTGAAACCCCTGGGTTAAAGAGCAGGGAAAGTTTAACCTTTTTTTTTGTTTTTGTTTTTAGAGACAGGGTTTCTCTGTGTAGCTCTGGCTGTCCTGGAACTTGCTCTATAGACCAGGCTACCCTCGAACTCAGAGATCCACCTGCCTCTGCCTCTGGAGTGCTGGGATTAAAGGCGTACGCCGCCGCCACCACTACCCGGCTGGGAGTCACACTTTTAACTTTTTGAAAATTATACTTGGATAGAGGTTTTCCTTTATTCAGAAAACAACAACAACAACAAAAACCTTGAAGGGTGTCTTATGGAGCCAGCCATTTCAGTTCTGTCCGCACAGTGACTACATGGCTTCGGCTGAATTCTGAGAACTCCGGAGGAATGAAGGTCACCAACCTCTGGGACTGACTGCACAGTCTAAATCCAAGTACCTCGTCTTCCCTCTGTGCCAGGGGAGCCTGGGAGGAGCTCCTGTCTTCAGGGAGTCTGCTGGGAAGCTCGATGCCACAAGCCCGGCCGAGGAGCTGAGGCGCCTGAGAGCACATAAGCTCCGCTCACAGAACCACGGATGGGAGCTCCAAGCGGCGAGCTCCACTTGGTAGGCACCACGGACAGATGGAGGAGCCAGAAGAGGTGAACCTGCAGGTGCTGAGGTGGCACTGTGCCATGAAGAGCCTCCTCCACAGGACCTGCCCTTGTGTGGGTCAGTGCTGGTAGGCAGCCTACAGGTACAGCTGGGGTTTATTTTACACTGACTTCAGCAGAGACATAAATGGGATAAGTATCAAATGCATGAATGCTATGTGGATGTCCGTAAAAGATCCCTAAATAGCCCAACAGGCCCGAGTGGTGAGCAGCTCTGATGAGGCGGCTTGCTCGGGTTGTCAGCTGACTGCCCAAGTGGAGTGGGGGAGCGTGGAGCTCTGTGTTAAAGGAAGTGCCTTGGAAACACAGTGTGGTGGTATTGCCAGAAGTGTACTGGGAACAGCATCTGGAGCAGGAGCGCTGAGAGAAGCCCGCCACCCACCCTGTCACACAGCAGTGGGAATGTGCCCAGAGTTCTAAGCAGAAGTCTGAAGAGGACTGGAAGCCCAATCTTCTCCTGGGGGGCAGGGGCAGCTAAACTACCCCCAGGTGTGCAGAAGGTGGAATTCCGCTGCTTTTCTGAGCTCAGGGTCAGACTATGGTCAAAACCTTCCCAGAAGTTGCACAATGGAACACGTGGACCTGGAAAATAGTGTGTTCTGAGCTACTGTGGGTAGCCAGGTTGGGACAAGAGAGTGCCATCCATGAGAGCGCTGGACCATGCACACTAACTAGCCCGGGGCCTTTAAAATGCACCAAGAAGTGATAGCTGTGTCCTTTCAGGTCACGAGGTGTGGACATGGGGGTGATGGGATCTGCTGGCACGGCCAGGTCTACGCCAGCAGCAGAGGCAGAGGTTTGGCTCACTTCTCAATCAGCACAGCAGGCATTCCTAAGCAGCTGGGCTTGGTGACCACACCAACAAGGATGAAGCTCAGATTCTTTTGGTTCCAGCCTTCCCCGCCCCATAGCTTCTTCTAAAGGCAGCACTCCTCCCTGTCCCAGGGGAACCCATCCTCCACCTCCACCTTTTCTGGCTTGCAAAGGTGCGGGCCTGGGGTCCTGTTCTGTCTGGACTAAGGGCTCCCCATCTGGATGAAGGGCACCACAGACGATGTGCAGACAGCCAACAGCAGTTCTGTGGCCACTTACAAGATCCCATATGCTCTGAATGCTTTTCGGAGCATGGAGTTCACTGCGCTCAATGGTTTTCAAGGTGTTGGTTTTTTGTTTTGTTTTGTTTTCCTTTGTAAATATCATAGTCCCCTGGGGGTGGGCTGTGCAAATTCCTACTGCCCAAACTGCACCCATTCTGGACCAGTTGGCTACAGCACCAGACCCAAACCCTAGCTCTTGTTTACAATTCACCATTGAATCCCAGGCAAAGGCACACAAAGACCTAGGCAGGGCTTCCTCCACTTGGGGAAAACACTCCTTGGGGATGACCTTGCTTAACATGCTGGTTCTGACTCTGGACTCAGATGTGGGGCCTGATTTAACAAGCTGCCATGGGCGGTTGGTTGGTCCACTGACTAACTTCTGACTAAGATGCCAGTCAGATAACCCGTCAACTCAGATCTGCAAGCTGACCCGGTTTTTCAGGGGGACCTTGCGAGCCTGGGGTTTCTCCTCGCTCAGAGCAGCTGGCTCTGTGACAGGACCCGAAAGCAGCTCTTGCCTTCTGGGCTGCAGCCATCACTTGCTGTTCATAGACGTCCAGGTTGTGCTTCATGAGCTCCAGGGCCTGCTGGCGGCTGCTGAGCTCCAGAGGGTTTGGGCTCAGGACCGACCGGTGTTCGTACACCGCAGCCATGTAGTACTCAGCCTTGCCGTGCTCGGGTGAGACCGCGGCGATGCCCAGCGCAAGCGCGGAACAGCCGAGGAGGAAGAGAACAGGCGCGGTGCGGGCTCCAGACATAATGCAGACCATAAATCTGGAATGAACCGGCAAGGGGAGAAGAGCTGAATAAGGAAGGCTGCCAAGGCCTGAACTTTCGCAGCTGTGATTTATTAATCCTGGCAATTACACTCGCCCGCAGCGATGCTGCGGCTCAAAGAGTTTGTTTCATGTCCCTAATAAAAGCCTGTGTGTTTCTCTCCAAACACGTAGAGCTGCCTTTCAAACGACTTGCTGTGTTAATAGACTGGTTTCAGAACATTTCCAAAACAGACTCGGTGTTTGCCTCTGTTTTCTTACGCAGCATGCAGGAAGCCTGCAGTGCGCCACTGCCTTGCTAGCCAGGCGCCTACACTGTGCGCTGCAGGAACTGTGCGCAATTTTGGACACAATTTCTGTCATATATTTGACGCTCTGTCGGAGCCTTCTTACTCATCGCTACAGGTCAGCCCTCTAGGACAACAGTGATGGTCCTGAGGCTCCTGAAGGCAGAGCAGCTTCCTTGCTGAATTCTGCAGTCTATTTGGGGGCTGGAATCCTAGCATCTGCAGGGCAGGGCAGCCATACAGAAGTCTCCCAGTCTCCCTTGCGGAGGCTTTCCCCTCGACCCTGAGTGGGCCTTGCCAGCCACTGCTTTCTCCACCTTTGTCTCTGCCACTCCAAATCACTTGCTTAAAAACAAACCTATTTGGAAATAAAGTCCTTCTTGTAGTGATAACATGGAATTTTCTAGAAGATAAATTGGAATTTTTGTAGTGAGTAGACTCCACTTAGCATAAGAAATTAGACACAAGTGAATGACATGTCTGTGTATCTCCCCCACCCCTTGTCCTACCCCTGACATAGAAATGGTTACTCCCCAACACTGCGTGTGTTACTAAGTGTTTTTCAGTGAATGACCCAATTCTGCCTTGAAAAATCACCCTGGCCTCCTAGCTAAGGCCCTCCCCTGGCACAAAAATTTATCAGGCAGTGTATCACAGCCAAGCAGCTGCCCTGTGGAGATAGACGAGACGGGCTGACAACTGCCTAAGAAGAATCCTGGTTCAATACCAAGCTAACAAGGAAATCAAGGAATCCCACTGCTGTTCCTTAAGAAGAATATGGCACCCCATCCAAAAAAAAAAAAAAAATGACGCCTGTCCAAACCTCAACTCAGAATGCTTATGTTTATATTCCAAACAGACTCCCTGGGCTACTAAGTTTCTTTTTACTATTTGGCTAAAAGTTCCAGAAACAAGCCATAATTATTTCAGCCACAGAACAGATGTAGGGATCCTCATTCAGAATCCTTCCACATGAAATGCTCCTCAGGGAGAAGCCTTCTCTCTCCCACCCCCATCCCATCTCAAACTGCCATTTGTTTCCCCAGGGAATAAATGTCCCATACAAAGCCCAGGGTTTGCTGCCACTCATCTGGACACTGGAAGCAATGTTCTATGGCAGGAACAAGGGGCCTTTGAGTGAGCAGTCATGAGTTTTGGAGTGGAAACAAAAGTATAATTGATAAGCTTTCTTATTGGAACTTTGTCTCCAAAGACACCAAGGAATAATTTTACATGCCTCAAAAAATCTACTTTGCATTCCATTTTGAAAGGATGGTTATGGGGCAGCTTGGGTGAGGTCACAGTCATGGTGACAATACTTTTAAAGTCCAAGTTGATGGCCTCTTGAAGAGGTGTGGAGTCAGGCTGAGGGAGAGACCCATGGGGCGAGTCAGGAACTCCCAGGCTAGGAAGGACCTTCACAGTTTCTGTATAACAGATGTGGGCACACAGGGCTCTATGTACATTAGGGGAGGGATGGAACTCACATATGGCAGCCTAGGGCTCTACCACTAAGCCTTATTCCAGCTCTGAGATACAGAACATCTGACTCTAATCCAGAACATCTAACTGTAATCCAGCAAAACAAGGAAACCGCAGAACGAACCAGCAAGATACCACATTCCTTTCTATTTTCAGAAAGTAAAATCTGTATTCTTTGCAGAAGGAGTCCAGTAGGAAAGCCTAAGTTGCAGTCATTCGTGTGTGAACAAAGGTAGATCAATAATTAGAGGCTATGCACATTTAACCAGACATTCGTGCTTCAAAGACTCAGGCTTAATGAGGTAGGAGAGAATGAGTAATTATAATAAAAATAGCTGCAAGGGTTTGCCCTTCCCAAACGGCGGTGAAGCCGGAGACATCTGCACTAACGCCGTGAGGCTGGCTCTCTCTCTGCACTTGGCATCATACACAGTCTCAGGAAAAACCTAACACGGTTGAGCAAGGACACTGAAGGGCTCAGCAGCAGCAGCAGCAGCAGCAGCAGAAGGGGTGCTCGGTTTTAAAGGAACAGGACTGGGGACTCAGATGGAGCTCAGCTGACGGTATGCTTGTCTGGCATGCACAAGGCCATGTCTTTGATCTAGCACTGCAAAAAACAGGCATGGTGGTGTGTACACCTGTAATCCCAACACCCAAGAGGTGGAAGCATAGGAATCATTAGTGCAAGGTCATGATCAGGGGAGATGGCTTGGTGAGCAAAGAGGATCTAAATTCAGATCCTCAGCATCCACATAAAAGCCAGGCATGGTGGCAAACCTGTAACCTGAGCATTTTGAGGGATGGAGACTCAGAAGTCAGCCACTCTAGCCACTAGAACCCTGGTTCAATGAGAAGCTCTGTCTCAAAAAAGAAAAAAACAAGTAGAGAATGCTAGAGGAAGACTGCTGATGTTGACCAATGCACACATATGGGCACATGCATCACATATACCACACAGCACAAAACAAAAAGGAAATTCAAGGTCATCCTTACTTACACAGGGACTTCGAGGTCAGCTTGTGTTAAGGGAGGAGGGAGGCAGAGAGAAAGGGAAGGACTGGGCAGCCAGCACTTCCAGATAAACGTAGATTAGGCAGTTGCTAGATGCTGGCTCATGACCACACCACACGTACAGGTATACTGGGACACAGGGCTCCCTGGAACAAGGGGCTCTGGAGCCAAGGAGTTCTTGGAAACCCAACCAGTAACCATCTTTGGAGATGGTCAGGACCCTGACCCTAAAGAAAAGAACAACTAGAAGTAAATGTCTGGCCCAACATGATGATAGCATAGTCCTTTTACTGAAGGACACAGGGGACTGAACTGTAGCAGGGCCTGGGCCAATCCACAGCTGTAGAGACAATGTACCTGCCCTCTGTGGGCATGCTCTGCTCTGAGACAGGGCCTAGGCTCTGAGGTACCCCATTTCTAAGAAGATACTCACTTCAGACATCCACATATTAGCCGACTGAGCCAGGCCCAGGCACCATGTCTGGAATGCATCAATGAGCAAACAGAGCCTCTTGGAGCTCATCACTGAATGCACAGGAGGATGGACATAATGAGAACAAATCTCTGTATGTCAGACAGCAGTGTGTGTGAAGGAGAACCAGGCAGTGAGAGTGGGTAGGGTCTCCGACAGTGTGGAGAATGAAGGTGATCGGGACAGTGATTCTAAGCAAAGATCTGACCCGAGGCAGCTGTGAGAAGGCACACAGGCCCTGGAGGAGGAGCCTCCATGCAGAGGGCCTAAGGCAGCAGCAGGCCTCTCCATTCAAGAAACGGCAAGAGGAGCTATATGGCTGGAGCACAGGATGCAGGTGAGAATAGGTGACCAGTGGAAGCCAGTGGGAAGCGATGGGCGGTGGCATTAGAGGAAGAGCAATGTGTATTCACTGGACCAAAGACCTCGTGTACATCACTTCTCCACACACATCTCATTAGAGGTGTTTAGCAGAATTATGACCTGTTTATTGTTTTCATTTGGAAATTAAGAATGACTGAAGGAGATGTGATTGTGTTTCAAATTGACAAGGGGTAGAATTGTTATAACTAATCTTGGTTGTCAACTTGACTACATCTGGAATCAACTAAAACCCAAGCTACTAGACACCCTTTCAAGGGGTTCTTTTTTGTTTTGTTTTTTGTTTTTTGAGACAGGGTTTCTTTGTGTAGTTTTGGTGCCTGTCCTGGAACTCACTCTGTAGACCAGACTGGCCTCGAACTCACAAAGATCCACCTGGCTCTGCCTCCTGAGTGCTGGGATTAAAGGCATGCGCCACCACCACCTGGCTCGAGGGGTTCTTTTAAACAGAGTATTTGAAGCAGTGAGATCTATCTACGTCTGGGCCCCACCTCTGGTAGCAGGCCACATAAATGGACATGGAAGAAGGAACTTTGCCTTTTGCCTGCTTGCCCTCAGTCTACCTGGCCAGTTCATCTATCCTGTGGCTGCTGGTGTTAAATTTGACTTCTTCAGGATCCCACTGTAGACTGAAAACCAGCAGCTCTCCAGGAATCCTCCTGGAGCCCACCCTCAGACTGGGACTGCAGAGACAGCCAGTCTCGTGGACTGAACTACTAACTGGTTCTTGGCCTTTCTGTCCCGAGACAGCCATTGCTGGGTGATCTGGACAACAGCCCACAAGCCAGCTGAAAAGGCCAAGTGTAAATAAACAGAGTGACAACCAATGACGAGGTGAGAATTCATGGCCGAACCCACAAGAACAATCAGAACGGATCAAGTCCTCTGAGGTGCGTTGGTAAACTGTGACTTTAAAGAAGATGACAGGCAGAAACGGCTCTGCACTGTGCCTTGGACAGGGGCCAAGTTCTGCTTCACTAACTAAACAGCTTAAACTAAAAGAGAAATCCAAGGATTATGACATGTTAACCTAAACACTGTCTTTCTTTCTCTCAAACAGGGACTACTTTCACAATTTCAATTGAGTGTGAAACCTCTCGGAGTAAGGATGCGGCTGTGCAATACAGCCTTTGGCCAGTTTGTGCAAGGCCCTAGGTCCTGACCCACTACGGTAAACATCTTCCTGCAGTGCCAAAGGTACAAAGTCAGAAGGCTTTTGTTGTTGTTGTTGGTGGTGGTGGGTTTTTTCTGTTGTCCGTTGCATTTGAATTAAAATCTTGGGGTCTATGTGTGAACCATTGCATGGGAAAAACACCCAGCTGGCCGATTCTGCAGGTGTGACTGCCACCTGGTGGACCACCCGAGAATCACTACGCCCCGTGGGTATTTGCCAGGCAGGAGCAGAGGGGTTCGCTGTCCTGCTACCGGCTCTTTTCACTTCTAGTAGCTCACTATCTACTTCATAACTAACGACAAGAGAAAACCGAACACATCCGACTTGTTTAGGGTTTGGTCTTCCTACACCAGGAGTCAGAAACTGCCTTCACTTCTCAGGTGCTTTCCCCATAGGGCTGATGGGATCTAGGCAGATTTCAGTGTTTTGAGAGCATGAAGGGAACAGAGTCACAAAACTATAACCCCAACTATTCAGAAGGCTGAGGCAAGAGGATAACCTAGTTTAAGACCAGCCTGGGCAATACATTGAGAATTTGTCTTAAAATAAAATGATTTGAAGTGAGCCTCAATTAGGCGTCAATGGGGAATGGTGGAAATTTCTCCTCCATTTTCCTGTTGAACTAATTAAAATGTAAGTCACAAGAACCACCTTTGAAAGGCCCAAATGTGGCAACACAACTGGCCTGGAGGCACCTGTCAACCTTGCCAGGGATGACAAGCTCAGCAGGCAGTGTGAAGGCCGCCTTTTTCTATTAAATGCATGATGGGTAACCAATGTCTAAGTGAACGACAGATGCATTGGCTCTAGTATATGGCAGACAGAACCAGACATCTGCTATGGCCAGTTCTCTCACCGGGTGTTCTTGTCTGCCAGTCCTCAGGAGGAAGAGCTGAAGACACGGAGGGAGGCAGTAGGTAACGGGGCCAAAGAATCCTGTTCTCACATCAAAATGATAACCCTTCACAGGACACTATTTAAGAAACACCACAACTGCCGGGCAGCAGTGGCGAACACCTTTAATCCCAGCACTCGGGAGGCAGAGCCAGTGGGATCTCTGTGAGTTCGAGGCCAGCCTGGTCTACAGAGTGAGTTCCAGGACAGGCACCAAAACTACACAGAGAAACCCTGTCTCAAAGCAAAACAAAACAAAACAACAACAACAACAACAAAAAACCCCACTACAACTAAGTGACAGAAGAAAGTGAGAAAGAAAGACAAACCACAGAAGCTAAAGCAAGAGTCCTACAGGTAACATGCAAAGGTCCCTTCTCCCGTGGAGAGGAGGGGGTGCATGTGGGCAAAGGTAACTAAGTCTAACAAGAGCGGAACAGAAAACCTCACAGATCCTGATGCCATCAGTCAGGAGGAAGAGGACGAGGAAGCATGTGACAGCATCGAGTGGGACTCAGGCACACCACACTGAGAGAGCCAGTGGTGTTCAGATAGAGGACAGAACATGATAAAAATGACAGCCCCCGCTTGGGCCTATTTATCTGCTCAACAAATTTTCTCACCACCAACAACACAGAGGTATGAAGGAGTGATTCACATCTGCACTTCTGCCTGAGCATTTCTGTCTGGTCTGATCTGGTTAAATCAGGAATTATGTAGGTAGCTTTCTTTTTCTGTAGTATTAGGTCCATCCTGATCCTAATACAAGTCCCACTGTCCTATGCTTTCCAGATTCTTAGCAGGACAGATATGTGGGCAGTTCTCCCAAATCCTGCAGCTTCACCAAGCTTGAGGGGCCGAGTCCTCCAGACCAGGGGCATGCCGAGGGTGCTGGGGATACATCTAGGAAGGGAGGTTTCAGTCCCTTCCACAGAAGCTGTAGGTTCTACCCTGCTCAGCATTAACTGCAAAGCAGAGGCAGACATTCCAGATCCTTGGTTGGAGAGAGGTTGCCCTTTATCTAGAAAGGGACTTAAGCCATAGCCAGGATTTCACACATGTCAAAGCTCACACAGTCTTTTTATGCCTCATTCAAAAACTGGAGGAAAGGTTGATCGAATAAGGAACCTGGGGTGAGTAAATAACAATTTGGAAGTAAGCTCAAACATCCTGTGACATGTACAGACAGACTACTCCTGGGCATCAGATATTTGGGACAGCTGTCTAAGAGCTGAAGTGGCTAAAATGACCAAAGAGCAGCCTGAGGAAATCTACGTGCAGACCATAAACATGAAGGCAGCACTTAGACAATGGAGAACAGACTTTAACAAGAAAGTGACTCACAGGCATGTGGAAAGCCTTTGAACTTCCCTAGAAAACAAAAATTCAAACTGGTACCTTCCCAGATTTTGAGTTTAGGAAAAAATTAAGGCAAGCAAGTAAAGTGATAAGAGTGATATCTACCTGGCATAAACAAACCTGAAAATTTGTACTCTGAGTCACAGTTTGCTTTATCTCAGGGAGTCATTCAAATGAAGGATGAGTGTGCTGGAGTGAGTGATAACAGAACATGGAAGTCAACAAAACGGGCTTTCAAGTTTCAATACACAGGAGTTTAAAAATCAGCTCTGATCCTTGGAATAGAAGAAGGTTAGAAAACCAAGCTTTCATTCCTTCATCTAGGAGTTGAGAAGAAAGCATCTGATGTAGAGTGCCTAGTGTTCAATTCACTGACGTGGCTGATCCTGGGAATCGAGTCCAACAGGAAAGTGGCGAGCAGATCAATATACAGCAGGGAAGAAATCATGGAATCAATGTGTATCGGCCACGTGGAGTATTGAGCAGAAGTTTAAAACATAATTAAGAAGAACCTTGATAATGAAATATGCTTAATATGTGCTGTAATGGGAAATTGTTTTAGCGACTGTGATAGGTGCTGGGGAAAAGTACATGTGCATGTCAACACAAACCACAGAAGATGACAGATGAGGGAAAGCATGCGGCTTATTTCATTACTTACCGTGTTCTGTGGTTTTGCTTTGTTCTGAGACAGGGTCTCACTATGGAGATGGGGCTGGCCTTGAACTGGCAGTGATCCTCCTGCCTCTGCCTCCTATGCTGAAATTGCTTAAAATGTTTTCTTAGCTGGGCACAGTGGGGCACACTTTTAATCCTAGCACTGGGGAGGCAGAGGCAGGTGGATCACCACGGTTTTGAGGCCAGCCTGGTCTACATAGAGAGACCCTAATCTATCTTCCTTCCTTCCTTCCTTCCTTCCTTCCTTCCTTCCTTCCTTCCTTCCTTTCTTTTGTAAGTTTTCTTAAGTGTTACATTGTTTTTCCAATAAATCAAAACTATTAAAAAATAGCAAAGAGTTCAAGTTTCTAGTTTGGCCTACAGGAAGCATAGATACTGAGGCTTTATCCTAATAACAAACTGGGGTTCAAGGTCTCTCTTCAGATATGGCGGAGAATTGAAGCCCTGGAGCAGACCACTGCCCCAGTTGTAGTTAACATACGGGCAAATACAGAGACCCACACTTACCAGGGGAGAAGCAGGAGCAGCAGTTCCTTGGCCCCCAGAACCTGGCAGGAAACCTAACTGGTAATTGAGGACTGCACTCAACATGGGAGAGGCTGAGATGGACAGGCCCAGGGACCAGTCTGAGCATGCCTTTAGGAGTTGTAGCAATTTTTACAATGAGATTAGAGAAAAGCCCGCCTCCCACTTCTAGCAGGGTCAGGAGAAGTCACCAGAGGTTCTGTTCTTCCACAGGCCCACCCTGTTAAGAAACTGCTTAATCAAAGCTTAACCTTGGGAGGTTTTATCTGAACCTAAATGACTCGGAGGAAGAGAAATCTAACTCTAGCCCTCTCCAGCTGCCTCATGGGAGGGGAAAATGCTTTCCATTAGATCCTTCTGGCCATTCCACCTCACCTGATGGAGAGTTCTGAGTCCAAGGTCAAAAGTACAAGGATACCGACAGTCCAAGACACACCTGTCAACTCCAGGGCACCTCTCTTGGAGCTGTGACAGGGCAAAACAGTGCAGAGCTTCCCCAATCTTGTATTCTTGCTGAGGCCCTTTTAGACTTAACTGGGATTTAATCTCCTTGTTGGTAAGCCCTGTGGGAAATTACCCAACTCTATTCTAGGAACCCAAGGTCAAGATGCCCCAGCTAATTTATGCAAGCTTCTGTTAAACTGCCTGCTTACGGAAACCTCCCCCTCCAGCTGACTGCTTATCTTAGCTTCTGTTAAACTGCTTGCTTATGGAAACCTCTCCCTCCAGCTGACTGCTTATCTTAGCTTCTGTTAAACTGCTTGCAGGCACAAAACCTCCCCCTGCATAGGTGGAGAGAGATACCACGATGTGGTTTTTGCCTTTAAAAACCCCTTACTCTAACTACTGGGTCCCGAATACCTGAGTGTAGTCCCAGCCAGCTAGAATAAAGGCTTTCAATTGCAGATAGACTGTGTCTGAGTGGTCTTCTCTGGTGGGCTCCCCACAACACCACCTCATTACTAAATGCCTGGTTACTGCAGCTGCTTGCTTTACCAGAACATAATGTCATCTCTCAACAACAACAACAAAAATTTCTTTTAAAGATTTACTTACTTTTGTATACAGTGTTCTGCCTGCAGGCCAGAAGAGGGCACCAGATCTCATTACAGATGGTTGTGAGCCACCATGTGGTTGCTGGGAATTGAACTCAAGACCTCTGGAAGAGCAGCAAGTGCTCTTAACCTCTGAGCCATCTCTCCAGCCCTCTCAACAAAAATTTACAAGGATACTGAAAAGTCAAAACCAAAGCTTGAAAAGACAGCCAGTATCAGGATAGTACTTAATAATAACCACAACGCTATGCTGAGGGCTCAGCTGGGAAAAAAAACTGACAATACAGAAGAACAGATGGGTTCTTCCAGACAAGCAAAAGAGGGAAATTCTAAGAAGGTATTTTTAAAAAGTGCTGAAACAAAAAAAACAACAACAAACAAAAACACTGCAACAGAAATGAAGAATCCCTTAGCTGCTCCTTAGTAGAACAGACGTGGCTGAGAAGAGAATTTCTTACCCTTATCTGGCAATAGAAACTTCAAACAAAAAGACTCAGGAAACCAAGAAAGGAGGGATTGTCTGAGGCAAACACCGAAATACAGCAAGACTGTCTCTCAAACAAACAAATGAACAACCACCACAAAAAAACATCAAAAAAAGAACACTGGCACACGGACTCTGGGCCGATTACAAGGATGTAAACACACAATGGGATGCCTCACACAGGGAGAGGAAGGAGCAGATCAGGGTTCAAAGCTATGACTGAGACCGCCTACTGACTACCAGACACTAGAGCCAGGTCAGGGCGGCTCAGCAGACACGGCAGGCGCTTCCGGGTGAGCCTACAGGCCAGCCGTTTCCTCTGAGCAGCTCTGCAGGTCGGAGGCTGCAGCTCTGAAGGGCCAGGGTAAGTCCATTCCAGGGAAGAAGTACACGCCAAGGAGGGAAGGCGAACCCTGGGAATCAAGAAGGGGCCAGAGGGAATCTTGCTGGGATGGAGAAGAGAAGCGAGCCTCAGCTCCCGCCCTGGCTCCCTAAGGGAGGAAGGGGCACAAGGAAGCCTGGCAGCCCTGGTGTCCCAGAGCCACAGAAGAAACCCTCTGTTCCCCCCAGCCTTAAATCCTGGGCAAGCTTTGCCTGCTGTGACAGGCCAGCATTGGAGAAGTCCCCGGCGGTGTAGTGCTTGAAAGAGCGCCACGGTGGGTCCTGCAGACAAGAACAACCAGGGCGCCCGGAGGCGTCCACCGCAGAGTCTGAGGGGAAATGGCAATGGGAGCCAGCCAGGGCGGAAAGGTTTGAACGAGAAACACACCCCTTGGCTCAAGTACTGGGACACTTGGTGCCCAGTTGGTGTCGCTGTTTGGAGAGGTGGTGCAGCCTGGATGCAGCAAGAAATGTCACTGAGGGATGGAGCTTCGAGGGCTCATAGTCTAGTAATACCTCCTTATTGCTGACTCTGCCTTGTCTTTGCAGCTGGAGACTGGTTCGCTCAGTTTCCTGCTCCAGATGCCTGCTTCCATGCTGTCCCCACCATTACGGACTCTAAATCTTTAGAACCGCAAGCCAAAATCAACTCTCCTGTAAGTGGTTGTAGTATTTTTTATCACAGCGACAGAAACGTATCTACTGCACAGCTGGAAAAGGAGGGCTGAACATTTGACAGCTGAGGGCCCGTGCAGTGGCCAGTGGCCAGTGGCCCCACCTTCTGGTGACAAGTGAGCCCTGGCACGTGAGGATTACGGTGGAGATTGGCAGTCCCCGAACTCATGGCTGGGAAACTGCTCAGCCTTAAAAAGCAGCCTCACCCACTGCTATGTGTGCCTGGAGCCAGGTAGGCTGAGAGCTAAGCCCAGGTCTGCCGGACTGCTGGATTTCCATAGCCTCCTCCTGCCTCTAGGGTGAATGAGTATCTCTAACCACTGTGTCTTTACCAAAAGAGGGTCTGCAAAAATTAAGGGCAGAGTAGATCCTAATGTAAACTGTAAGCTTTGGAAGATGATGATAGGTCAATGCAAGTTCACCAACTGTACCAAATTTCCACACTCTGGTCCAGGATGTTGATAATGATTCAGGTTGTACAGAATCAGGACAGTGGGTACAGGGTAACTCTGTACTTTCTGTTCCATTTTACTATGAACCTAAAGATTTTCTTTAAAGTCTTTTAAATATAATATATAATAAGTTAGAGATTGGAAACCAGAATGGTAAAGGACATTTCTCAGCCTTAGTGTATAAGAAGTTTAGTTTTTAATTGTCAGAGACAGTCTAAGAAAAAACCTTAGGGTTGTGGTGAGATCTGTGCATCTGATTAAGAATTATTCTCGGGCTGGAGAGATGGCTCAGCGGTTAAGAGCACTGACTGCTCTTTCCAGAGGTCCTGAGTTCAATTCCCAGCAACCACATGGTGGCTCACAACCATCTGTAATGAGATCTGGCACCCTCTTCTGTATACATAATAAATAAATAAATCTTTTTTAAAAAAAGAAGAAGAATTATTCTCTCACTGAGAAGATAAAGGGCTGGGGAGATGGCTCAGCAGTTAAGAGCACTAGCTGATCTTCCAGAGGTCCTGAGTTCAATTCCCAGCACCCACGTGGTGGCTCACAGCCATCTATAGTGGGATCTGATGCCCTCTTCTGACGTTCAGGTATACATGCAGATAGAGTACCATATACATAAAATAAATACATTTTTAAAAAGATGAAACACACACACACACACACACACACACACACCACACACACACACACACACACACACACCTGCCTGCTGGATCTGTATATACAGACTGTATATCTCATCTTCTGCTCTGAGAACGAAAACAAAACACCATCCCCAGAGAAGGGGTGAGCATCCCCCAGTATGATCCCTGAGAATTAACACATTTCTGACCCCAAGGGATTCTTCAAGTAAAAAGAGACAATGAGGGAGGGGCAAGACCAGAATGCCCTGGTAAGTGCTTTCTGGAAGAACACTGCTCCCCACCCCTCACCCCCAAGGGACACTGGGAACTGACAGACCAGTGCTGTTATCTGTGAGAAGCAGAGAGAACTTATTTTCCTACAGTCCTCTGAAGGCAGCTTGCCCCTGGGATGCTGATCACACAGGAAACAAAGTCAGCTAATAAAACAGACCCATGCTTAGCCAGCTCCCCTACAACCCCCTTCCTGAGAAAGCAGGGTGGAGAGGAAGTACTGTGGAGGGGATAAGTGCTCCGGGGGCCTCCATCTTCACTGGACTCCCCTTGTTAATAAGTTTCAATAAGCCTTGTGTCTGGGTATTGTCTTTGGTCTCTTGGCAGCCTGCCCATCTGCCATGGCAAAGTTAGGCTGTGAACACCACACTCTAGAGATGTTACAACCAAAGCTTTTGTTTACATTCAGTTTGGAATTCAAATTCTTACAACATACACAACCCCAGTAACAAGATAAAAGAGTATAAAGTGCTGAAGATGTTCACAGTCCTGAGATGCCTGGAAATGCCAGTCCACATCCCCTCTACAGGACTCTTGACCCAGATCACACAGGACATCCCAATTAGAGTCAACAAAATGTCCAAAATTATAAAACACACAAAGAAATTATAACTCCAAACAGTCAAAAGAACATAGCAAAATCAGACTCCCAACAAATTCAGATGATTGTAACCCAAGTGAAAATTGTCAAATGCATTGACGAAAACTGAAAAGTACCCAGAGGACCCTAAAGTGGATCAAAGAGTGAGGGTACTACTAAATAAAGTCAGATGGAGAGGTTTTCAAGATATGGAAATCGGAGCGAGCAACAAACGATGCTTAAAACATAGCATAGAGTGCTGGAGAGATGCTCAGTGGTTAAGAATACTGTTGCTTTTGAAAGGGACCTGGGTTTGGTTCCCAGCACCCACATGACTGCTGGTAATCATCTGTAAATCCAGTTACAGGGGATCTGATGCCCTCTTCCGACCTCCTTGGGCACTGCATGCATGTGTTACAGACATATTCAGACAAAACACCTATATACATAAAATAAAATCTTTAAATTAAACAAAAAATATACATAGCACAAAAATGTCAGAAACAAAGAAAGCGGGTAGGAAACAGGGAAAGTCCATATGATGTCCCACACTGTTCCTAAGAAGTAATTACAGAATGGAAAAATAGCCTCAAGTCCAATAATGAAACGAAGAAATAATCAATTCAGGATAAGGAAGAAGAGCCCTACAGCAAGACACAGTATTATGAAACTGTGGATCTCTGAAGAGTTTAAGAACGGAATGCAGGGTCAGGTGGCGGCGGCGGCGGCGGCGGCGGCGGCGGGCGGCGGCGGCGGGCGGCGGCGGCGGCGGCGGCGGCGGCGGCGGCGGCGCACGCCTTTAATCCCCAGTACTTGGGAGGCAGAGGCAGGTGGATCTCTTGAGTTTGAAGACTAAACTGAGAAACTCTGTCTTGAAAAACAAAAACAACAACAACAACAAAGAAAGAAAGGAAGGAAGGAAGGAAGGAAGGAAGGAAGGAAGGAAGGAAGGAAGGAAGGAAGGAAGGAAGAAAGAAGGAAGGAGGAAAGAAAGAAAGAAAGAAAGAAAGAAAGAAAGAAAGAAAGAAGGAAGGAAGGAAGGAAGGAAGGAAGGAAGGAAGGAAGGAAGGAAGGAAGGAAGGAAGGAAAGAAAGAAGGAAGGAAAGAAAGGAACACAGAAGCAATCATGGGAAAACTTTAAAGATAGAGCTACTTGGAATCGTTCCAATAGCTCGGTGGGGAAAGCTGCAGCAGCCTGAGTTCATGCCACAAATCCCAACTAAATGTGGAAGAGAGCCAACCTTAGGGAGCTGTTCTCAGACCTCCACACATGCACCTGGCATGCACTCCCCCACCCCCACATAATAATTTTAATTTGAAAAAAAAAGATACAGTGATTTTTTTATGGTAATCTGAACA